AATATTCTGAGAATATAACTCGAATAGTTATATTCTATTAACAATTTCTTATAAATTGTCATGTAAATATTCACCCCGTTACATGTACGGTCATCTCGGCATAGTTGCGCGATTATTTGTGCGAGTACGCCGCCTAGCCAAGGAACTTTAGAAGTCCCTTGACGTCGACTGGAACAGGCCAGTCACTAATCGCCTTGATCTTTTCCGGATCAGGGCGTACGTCGTTTTTACCCACGATGCAGCCAAGAAGTGGTGTTAGTTCGCTGCGAATACGCACTGCTTGAGGTTCGCGAACAACTTACGCTCACGCATTAGTGTAAGAACCTTCCGGACGTGGATTCTATGAACCTCCGCGTCCGTCTTTCCGTCTATAGCTCGGCTATGGACGAATACATCGTCGAAGTAACTCGATGCGAAGTCGCGCACCGATCGCAATAGATTTGTAACACATCTGTTAAACGTTGCGGGGGCGTTACTTATCCCCTGTGGCATCACTAGCCACTCCCAAAGCATACCACTGAAGGTGCTCACTGCTGTGTAAGGGATATCCCGTTCACGCATGAGGATCTGATAGAATCCATCCATCAAATCTACGGATTAAAAGATGGTACTCTTTGCCGTACCATCAATGATGACGTCTTACCTCGGTATTGGCGTCTGATCCGGTACCGTTGCAGCATTCAATCTGTTGAACGCGTGCACTATCCCCCACCCGTCTATGGAATTTCGCACATAGAAGGTCGGAGAGCTGTGTGAGTATGCTGAATCCATCACATGACCAGCCGCTAAACGTTCGGCAAATAATTATTCGATCGCTGTGATCTGTTCACGAGGCAGTGGCCACTGCTTCATGACACAGTACTTCAAACCGGGTTTCAGTTCGATCTCATGCCGGGTGACTTTGTCTTTGGGAAGCTCGCATGGCACGGATTCCGGGAAATATCCTTGAATTCAACCAAATTCTTATACAAAGGATTTGTCTTCAAAGACTCCCATGATTGAGACGTGTATCGATCAATCCGGACCTTTTCTTCGAGAACGCTCTCGTCCATTGATGAGTTACTGAGAACCCGTTTGCTCTCAGTAAACACTTGTGCCGACCGAATATCGGCGACGTATTCGTCCTCTATGACGAGTAAGCAGATCTGCTTGATCTTTTCACTACGCAGATATCACAAAAACATATTAAATTCTAGGGTTGGCAACTTGATTACCTCCGAAGCTGACTTCGGGGGCGTCACCAGATCAAGTGTATAAGCGCCTACACTTGATCCGTCATTCACCGAGACATTAACTGACTCGGTGATTTCCTGGGAAAACACATCCGCAGGTGGTTGGGGATCCACACCCTCAACATAACTTTCTCGGGAGTTACCGCTCTCAGGAACGCCGGAATTTTCTTCCGTTACGGGTACTATCACGGTCACGTCCTCTTCTATCGACTCTCTTTCAGTAGAGCGGGCTTGCTCTACGATCGACTCTCTGATAGTGATCTCGCTTCAACGTGTTGTCCATCCTGAACAACACTAGTCTCTCTTCCCAGATGCACCCTTCTTGGTGTGCATCCGTGTTCCAGTCCACTCGATCTCTGCGATTGGTGAACCTTCGGCGCAGCCTGTGTCTCTACACAGGTGCCGGAAGCTGATTACACAGCGCAGTGGCTTTCTACACTGTCATCTTGTGCAATCGTTCGAGCGACCGTACCACATTTGAGGCCATCGCACTCACTCGTAGTGCATCCACACGCTTGTTACGCTCCAAAACCATTATCGGATGGCCATCCGATGAACAAACAGCAGACATCTTTACGGATCGATGCTGCCAACTAACCCATGGCCGATACTTTCTAAGCCATGGCAGACCAAGGATGACATCAAATTTTTCATCCAAATCTAATAAGATAAAGTCATCATCGTATTGTTTTCCTTCTAGCGTGTAGTGGATTCCCAGTACACGTTTGTTCACTGTTACGGATGCGCCTGTAGTAAGGCACGCCGTCATCCTCGTTGGAGATAACTCTCGCTCAACATAATTTAGACTACTATTCCTTAGCGACTAACAAGAATAATGAAGGCGGTCATTACGTCCTGTGTATGGACGTGAAATGATGCTTGTTACACTACACTTATAATCGAATTTAACGATCTCATGACAGCGATGGCATCTTGCCGTTCGCTTGCGCTCGTACAGCGAGAGTGATCGCTCTCGATGTAACAGAGGTCCATCGGTTCAGGACCTCCTATTTCCTGTCGTCTCGTCGAAGGATAGTTGACGAGTTAGCCTGAGACTGTCTCAGGCTTAAGTACCCTTTTTCCGCATGCGCTATCTCCTTTTCCAGCGTATGGAAGTCCTCTCGGGACATGTGGGTCTTGACCGGTCCATTTGACAAGGCCGTAGATGAACACGTTGGTGACTGCATGCTCATCAACAAGGTATCCCTTGTTGCTAATCGCAAGGTGGCGTAGGTGTTGTGCGTAAGCGTGCATATCACGCTAAATTTTTTTGAGCCTTCGGGTTGCAGAGCGTGCTCTGCTCTCGGCTCTCGGCGGTTCAAACGTGTCTTTGAGCCGAGATTTCAATATCTCCAACGACTCAAACACGTTTGGATCGTGAAGCTTGAGCCCCAAAGCCCAAGGCTTTGCTCGTCCTGTCAAGTGTGACAAGACGAAGGTGACTTGCACCTTGTCACTCTGGATGAGACGGGCCCTGATGGCGTCGTCCAACTCGACGAACCATCTCAGAAGGGAAGCTTCGTCGGTTACCTTGTACCTTAAGATGTCAATCTTCAAGGTTTCGGGTCGACGCATGTGCTTTGGTCCGCCCATCGACTGATGAGAGCCTTGCTGCTGTAGCAATACTATCTTCTGTCTTTCGACGGCAAGTTCCCCTTGTAGGAACTTGCTGATAGCAGCATGTTGCTGGTCTCTGCTCAGGGACTTCAACATACCACTGATGGCGGGTTCACCCATGAGCACACTCATGCGGCCGACTACCTCCCATTCTGAGTCACTCGGATGGGGGAAGCCTTCACGTGTGACGCGAAAGCTGTCGTCTTTTACGTACAACGTGTGCATGTTGGACGGACACTATGTAGTCGTTAACCGGACTACAAAGTGTCATTAGGTGAACTGGGGCGCCCTTTGTTTGGGGTGCCGCGAAACTTTACGTACAATAGTACGTGCAGAGGAAGCTAAACTACTTGAACATCTCGATCAAGTAAGGTAAAAAAGAAAACTGTATTTAATATAGTTAAGCCATCAATATAACTTTAGTCTATATCTAACAATGTTAAACTACGCCGTCGCATGACGACAACCTGCTCACCACTCATTGCGCGCGTCTAGCAGCGTTTGGTGGTAATCTATGGTTGACATGTCTTATATCCACCAATCTTGGAGCAGCGAATGAATATCATCCGAAATGGGATAATATTCCTTCAATTTTATCCATCCCGGATAACATCGGTAGAATTTTGTCATACTAGACAATATTCCGGCTGACACCGTTTGGTGTTAAATTTTATGCAACGGGCTACCCCTTTACATGCAGAGGAAGACAATTCTACTTAAAGTACTAGTTTGAGTAAAGATGAGAAGAGAACCGTACTTAACATAGTTAGCTATCAATGTAATTTCAATCTTTTTCCAACTTAATTAATCTACATTGTCGTATGACTACAACCTGCTTACTAATCATTACGCTCGTTCGGTAGCGATTGGTGGTAACCTTGGTTGATATGTCTTATCAATAAATCTTTGAGCAGCACATGAATGTTATCCTAAGGGGTTATATTCCTCCAATATTATCCATCTTGGGTGATTTTGGCAGGGGATTGTCACTCTAGACAATTTTCCTATTGACACCGTTTGATGTCAATATCATGTAATGGGCTGCCCCATTACAATCGACGTCTTCAGCGTCTGGTGTGGGCGTTTTTAAGGTGAAAATGGCTAGAGGAAACTAAAGGACGAGTGGAATAACTACCAATTTATTTTGCAAATCAGGAAGTTTACGTGGAGGTTTTAGTGGCTTTAGTTTTCTGCGTTTTACTGCTTATTATCTGCAATCTCTCAGTTTACAACATTACACAGTCGTGACAATTGCTCCTATTGATTCGAGTTTTGAGGCTGAGAATCTGTTCGGAAACCGATCGAAAACATTATTTCGAGGCGAACGTTGTGCGCATTACTCATTTCTTTTGTATAGTGGCTAACGTTTTCCTACGGCTCATTTTACTATCAGACATGATGTTTAAAACCAGCCTGGCCACTCTACACAGAGATAACCAGTTTGTTGGGGCTATGTTAGTACGTGTGTTAACGTAAATAGCTCGGTAAAAAATTAAATTCATGGTATCAACTATATAAAAGTGCCGAACGTGGTCACAAGTGGTAACAATATCAATAATGGTAAAAATAATTATTTATTTTTAAATTCCGTGACTTTTTACAAAATATTCTTACTGTGGATGACCTTCTGGTCCGAGAAGCGACAGCGGCTCCGAAGGATCGTCTAATCAACGATTCAACATCATTGTGTGTAAATAAAGCATCGGATCGATGCTTCATATGTTGGCTCTCATGCGGTGAGTCACGTGCTTCCGAACAGCGTGCGATCGCGTGTCACCGGACTTGCAGTGGGAACTGAACTGTGCGAGCCAGAGCTTCTTTGCCGGCCGCAAGGGAGATGTGCCGTCGTTTTATGCGCTAGCGGCCTTCCGAGTTCAACTGGTCCTGACGGCATCAGCGTCCGGATCCAGAGGAGCCTCTCTCGCAACGTTCGTGTCACCCCTTTCACTAGTCTATTTCTTAGAGTACAAAATTGTCACCGTTGTCGCCGGATAATGAGTTTTACAAAGAAATCGGGTAAAAAAGAGAAGGGATTGAACGTGCACCATCCAAATTCAATTTTAAATGAGTTGTAGGGCGAATGAGGTCTTATCTCTCCTACCCTCAGCCACTTTGCTATTTCCCTGCTCCGTACAACATCTAAACCCAAGCATGCGCTTCATCAGGCTCTCCCTTATTGCGTCAACCGCTCTCCTGCCCCGATCTGAGAGTGCCATGAAGGCTGCTGGTCCCTTGACGACCGATCAGAAGGACACAACTGCCGTCATGCACGTGACTACCGATCAGAACGGCCTTCCACCGGCCAGGTTGCTACGTTCGCAAGTACTAATTCATGAGATTGAAGAACCCACGATCGCGTCGGTTGCAAGCCTTGTCAAGCCGTCTTCAGAACAATCGACCACCGCAATCGAGACGGCCCTCGCTTTCAATCTAGAGAAAATGCGATTGGTGCCTGAAAACGCTGTAGCCGGTATCTATCCCAAGTGGTCGCAAGACTATTTCCCCTACAAGATCCCGGTTTACGTCTCCGGAGCCGAGATGATGATTGAAGAAGCGGACCGAGCGATAAGGGCCGATCGCGCGGTTCTGCGGACGCGAGGCATGTTGGGTTCCTTAAATCCTGATGACGAAAACGCTGAGGTAAAAAGGAAAGTTGAGGAAGCTGTCGGGGTCAGGTTATCAAACTTCGCAAGGAAAGAGCCAGTCACGGATTTCCAGGCTCAGCTTACTGTTTTTCTCACTGAGATGCGGACATCAGTCAAGCAGAAAAACCTGGCAAAAAGGTTTGAAAAAGGTATGGTTGAACTCTATCAGAAGAAGTTGCATCTTTATCACTTCCTGAGATCGGAGCAGATGCTGGAACTAGCTAGTGAGGCAGCAGGCGAAGAAGACTTCTTATTTCTTTTCCTGTGTGTGGAAAATGAATACACCTTAGCTTACTCCCTCACCCTGCTAAAGATGTTAGGCAACAGCGCTCAGCAAGAGTTCGCGACAAAGTACTTCGAACTTATTCCACCATGGATCGCTCGAACCCTTGATGTGTCGAAGCACATTCATCTGCTCCAAGCATTGTTCACCCGCAGTAAGTTTCCAAGTGTCTAGTCGGTTGGGTCTCAGAGTGGTTGGTGAAACGTGTCTATTCTAGCAGGGGAGGGTTTTATAAGGTCATCGTAGACGTAAAAATACAACTTTGTGCATTTACATTTTTGGTGAAGTGCTGAGAAACATTTGAGTGAGCGGTCTGACGTTAGCGTGTTCACGTTCTATCTGTCAATAACGCGCCACAGTCTGACCGCTTGCAAAATGGCAGCCTTTGGAATTCAATGACGAGTACATCAATACAACTTACCCTTCGCTACTTGTCACGGGTACCCTTTCGTCTGGGGCTCGAAACTTTCCGTACGCTAGTGCGAGCAGAGGAAGATAAATCTACTTAAAGTGCTAGTTTGAGGAAAGGTAAAAAGAGAACTGTGTTTAATATAGTCGAGCTATCAAAATAACCTTAATCTTCATCAAGCTATATTGAACTACGCCGTCGCATGACTGTAACGGGACGAATCGTTACATAACAATTTGTAAGAAATTGTTGATAGAATATAACTATAAGAGTTATATTCTCAGAATATTGTCATAAGGACAAATGTTCTGTAGCACTTACGAGTAGTTCCTAATTGGTTGATATAGGCCATTACATCAACCAACGAAGACGCGCCACGACAGACGCACGCAATGAGTGGTGAGCAAATAACTGATTTACACATTTGTATTTAAAATAGTTAGATGAAGATAAATGATGATTTACTGCAGACATAAACTATACTAAAGATAGTTCTACTTTTTACTTTTACCACGCACTCGCTTCTTCTTACCGTCTTCCTCTGCACGTACACTCGTACGTGCAGAGGAAGACGGTAAGTGTACGTGAAGAGGAAGACGGTAAGAAGAAGCGAGTACTTGGTAAAAGAAAAAATAGAACTGCATTTAGTATAGTTAATGTCTGCAATAAATCACTATTTATCCTCATCTAACTATGTCTGAATACAAATGTGCATATCAGCTATCTGCTCACCACTCTTTGCGTGCGTCTGTCATGGCGTGTCTTCGTTGGTTGATATAAATATAATGGTCTATATCAACCAATTAGGAACTACTCATTAGTGCTACAGAACATTTGTCCTTTTGACAACATTCTGAGAATCTAACTCTTATAGTTATATTCTATCAACAATTTCTGATAAATTGTTATGTAACGATTCACCCCGTTACATCACCCCCCCCTTGACCATCAGTCACTTTTTAGTAACTGATTGACTAATTGGATACTCGTCCCAAATCATTTGGGACAAGGTTTGCGCTTGTTGGTCCGAGTCCACTTTCCAACAGTTCATCGCATGGTTAACAAGCCCATGCGATGCGCGAGCAAGGCCGCCGAGAGCGCGTCCGCACGTCTCTGTGCGGACGCCGAAGCAGCAACCACAGCATCTGATGTGTCATTGGTTGCCGAAGCGACTCAGCCTGTGTCACTTGGTGATGCAGGCGCTCATCATGAAGACACTCATGTTTTCACAGAGTACGAGCTCGGTGTCTCGTACTCTCCTGATACGGAAGACGGATCCGTATCGACGGCGATTGAATCCAAGCCACCTGCCAAGCGTGGCATGTATGATGCTATGCGCCGTAGCATCTCTGGTTCATCTGATGAATCAGATGAACCATCGCCGAAGCGAAGGCGCTCGAGGTCGCGAGACTCGGGCGCTAACAGTGGTGTCGGTTCTCCAATGGACATCACTTCACAGCGAGGTGCCAGTACTTCTGTCGGCACGTCGCAGGAAGAGCGGGACCGCAATGTGTTGCGTCTCGCTCCAGAAAAGAAGGCATGGATGCCTCCTAAATCCGTCATGGATCACTTGTCGGCGACGACGAGTGATCGTTATCGAACACGATTGTCCGATTCGTCAAGGATCCATCACCTTGACCCCAGCGCGAAAGACTATCACACTGAACACGAATTCTTCATCGATGCTTTCTTTAGACATCGATGGTACAATGGGAATCACAAACGTGATGGTCCCTCACTACTTCAAGCGTGGAGCGCCTACATCCATAACCTTGAGGATGTAGGTCGTGACGTTTGGAACGACAAACTTATCAAAGCTCGTGATAAGTTTGAAAAGCGAACCCCGACTGGTGCACGCTACAAGCTGCATCGTCTGTCAAGGCAGAAGGGATTACCCTGCCTCACTTGGGGAGACTCGTGCCCATGTTGTGTGAACAACTCTGCACGAGCACCTAAGGAGGCGTACCTCCTTACCAGCCCGTGGTGGCGCGTACGTTTCTCTAGTGAGATGTACGAAGGGATTGACAACCTGAAATCCCTTTACGACCGTGCCGAAAGACTTTCTCCGGCGGTCCTTCTGCGGCACAGGATGTGCCGCGTCGTACTACTCGACCAGACCCAGTACGTCAACAATCAGTTGGGAGCGGGGCTCCCAAGTATCCCAAGACGGGAGATAACCGCGCCACCGGACGAGGTAACTCGTCCGAAGTCCGTTTACGTCGCGGTGGTTTAACAGCTGCTCAACCAGATAGCGCTGGCAACCGCGAGAGTCCTCTAATGGAGGTGGAGGAGGAGGGAAGACGCTCTCCACACGATCGTCGGGATCCGTGTGTTCCCGAAAGCTTCTTTAATCGCGTAACGCAAGGGTTACGCGGCGATCTCGAACATGAGCGGGACAGGCGTCTCCAAATGGCGGACACTGTCTCGAAGCATCGAGCTGAGTTTGCCCAGCTTGAGAACGAGAGAGATTTGACATCTCTTCGTGACGAGCTAAGGGTAGCTCGTGGGATTGTTGATTGGTCTCGGGATGAGATAAATGCTCTCCAGACCCTTGTCGATGCCTATCATCGGGAGCGCAAGGCTCTCTGCGAGATGCTTGAGCGCAAGGGCGTTCTTCATCGGAAGAAGCATCGTACTGATGGTACGGCTTAAGCCGACCAACGTAAAACGTGGGATGCGTTCGCATCTTACGTGGCAACTCGATCGTGCATGCATTGCCTAGGCGGTGCAATACACGAAATGGGCCGATGTACTTGGGTAGTAGTAAACTACTACCCAAGTCAGTCACTACGTGCTTTGGTAGATCAACCGTAGACAGTAGGACTAAGTCACCTTAATTAAATAAAAGAGTGTTTGCCCTTCCATTATTGTCAGCGTTTTGCTTTTGCTTATCCACCGCTTCGGCGATGGAGTCTTGCACAAAACGGACTACCGTTTCACGATCCAGTATGAACTCATCCGATGACTCGTTAGCTTCAGTGCGTTGTGAGTGCACTGCAGCTCCATCAATCTTTTATTCAGTGAGAGCTTCCGCACTCTCACTGGCATCATCTTCTTCGATACCGATGTTGTCGATGTCGGCATCAAACGCAATGACCTCGTCGTCAGAGCGTGATGAGCGTGAACCAAATCGGTTTTTGCTTGCGCGAGTCCCTCCCCCCCCCTCAAACCAGGGCACACTCTAGTAAGGTGGGTACACGCGGATGGCGTAAGCCATTCACGTAAAACGGTGTATGTGTCGTGGACGCATGCACCGAGTTGTTAATGGCAAACTCTACCATGGGCAAGAACTCACTCCAACTCTAAAAGGAGTGTACGTATCCTCGAAGTATCTCTTCAAGGACACGATTGGCACGTTCGGTCTGACCATCTGACTCTGGATGGTCAGATGTAGACATCTTCAAGCGCGTTCCGAGTGATTTGAACACGGAACGCCAGAAATCAGCAGTGAAGCGTGAATCTCTGTCTGATACGAGTTCACGGGGCAACCCATGAAGTCGGAAGATGGTGTCAATAAAGACACAAGCACAGCCACTTGCCGTGATTGACTCTGGTACAGCCACAAGGTGTACCATTTTGCTGAATCTGTCAACAAATGCGAGAATACCCGTATTCCTGCGTGCGTCTTTGGTAACCCGAAGACGAAATCCATTGAGATGGATTCCCAGCACTCTGCCGGAACCGGTAGAGGCTGTAAAGGTGCACGCAGTGAAGGACTTGACTTCACTCGTTGACAGACTTCGCATGCGCGAACATACTTTCGCACAAACTGATACTGGCGGGGCCAGTAAAAGTCTCGACTCACCGTGAGATATGTTTATCCCGGCCACGATGTCCTCCTATAGGAGCATCGTGATACTCGAACATGATCCGCAAACGCAGATCAGTATCATCTGGAATGATAATTCGTGGTGTGTCACCAGAAACGGCTGTATAATACAGTAAACCGTTGCGAGTAGTGTATCGATCTGATGCAGATCGATACGCAGGCGATAATCGTTTCAACGATTCTCGAGATGGCTGTGAGAGATGTGTCAACAACTTCACAATCTCACCATCTTTGGCGTATGCCCGCCTCACATCATCATACAACGTTGTAGATGGGACTGAGGACGTCATAACCGCAACAGTGACTATCTCACTGTTGGGTTTCACGACTGGTTCAAAGTCGGGAAGACGTGAGAGTGCATCAGCGACGACATTAAGTCGTCCTGGTTCGTACTCGAACGTAAAGTTGTATTCTGCAAAGAATGACAACCACCGCGCCATTCGTTGTGAAAGGTGTAGGCTGTTCACTGCCGTGCGTAATGACGCATGGTCAGTGTAAACAATGAAGGGTCTATCTCCTAATAGATAGACTCTGAACTTCGCGATTGCATACTTCATGGCAAGTAATTCCTTGTCATGCACTGGATAGTTCCGCTCAGCTGGTTGCAGCTGACGCGACTGATAGAAGACGACACGTTCAACGCCTTCAAGATCGTACTGCATTAATGCACAGCCGATTGCGAAATCGCTGGCTTCACAGACCACATGAAATGGCCTGTCCTGATCGGCCATTGCTAGGACTGGGGATTGTATCAAGCTCTGCTTGATACCATCAAAGGAGCGCTGACATTCAGCGTTACATAACCACCTCTCGTTCTTTTTCAACAAACAAGAGAGGTGCACAGTCATCTCGGCTTAATTAAGTGAATACTTATGCGAATACGCCGCTAGCCCAAGGAATTTTCGAAGACCTTTGACATCAACCGACACAGGCCAGTCGGTGATCGCCTTGATCTTTTCGGGATCAGGACGTACACCGTTCTTACCAATGATGCACCCAAGAATTGTATTTCGCTTGCTGCAAATATACACTTCTTGAGGTTTGCAAACAATTGATGCTTTCGCATAATTGTAAGAACCTGTCGGACGTGGTACCTGTGAACCTCAACGTCCGACTTTCCATCCATAGCTCGACTATGGATGAATACGTCATCGAAATAACTCGGCGCGAATTCTCGTACTGGTCTCAACACATGTGATACACATCTGTTGAACGTGGCAGGGGCATTACTAAGCCCTTGTGGCATTACTAGCCATTCCCAGAGCATGCCGCTAGGCGTGCTCACTGCGGTATAGGGTATATCCCGTTCTCGCATAAGGATTTGATAGAAGCCATCCATCAAATCCATGGACGAAAAGATGGTACTCTTTGACATACCATCAATGATTACGTCCTTCCTTGGTATCGGCGTCTGAGCCGGTACCGTTGCAGCATTCAACTTGCTAAATGCATGCACTATCCGCCACCCTCCTGTTGCTTTTCGCACACAGAAGGTCGGAGAGCTATGTGGAGAAGTTGATTCCCTCACATGGCCCGCAGCTAAACGATCGGCAAAGAACTTGTCGATCGCAAGTACTTGTTCACGAGGCAGTGGCCACTGCTTCATGACACAGTACTTCGAGCCTGGTTTAAGCTAGACCTCGTGACGAATACCTTTATCCTTCGGTAATTCGCGCGGAACAGTTTCAGGGAATACATCCTTGAATTCAACCAAATCTATGTAGAGAGGATTTGTCTTGAGCGATTTCCACGATCAAGAGTCATATCGCTCAATTCGTGTCTTTTCATCTATGACACTCTCGTCCATAGATGAACAACTGAGAACTCTCTATCTCTCAGTAAACACTGTTGCTGACTTATGTCGGCTACACACTCGTCGTTAGCGACGAGTACGCAGATCTGCTTGACTTTGCCACTACGCAGATCACGCAAGAACCTTTTATGTTCGAGAGTTGGCAACTAAGTGATCTCCGAAGTCAACTTCGGAGGCGCAATCAGATCAAGTGCGTAAGCGCCTACACTTGATCCGTTATTGACCATGACATGCAATGTCTCTGTCATTTCCTGGGGACTTATTCCCTCAGGCTTCGAAGGACTTATTCCTTCGGCTTCACTGGGACTTATTCCCGCGGGATTCGGGGAACTTATTTCCATCGTATTTGTAATATCGGGACTTATTCCCTTAACTTCCTCTAGCTGGGGTTGCGCAACCACAGCGAGATCCTCTACGAAAGACTCTCCAGTCGATCTAGGATTATCGTTTCGCTTAACCTGAGCGATCGACTGTTTCTCTTCTAGATGTTCCCCTCTAGGGATACATCTTTGTCCCAGTCCACCCGACTTATTCGAGTGGTGGACCTTCGGCGCAGCCTGTGTTTCCTCACAGCCGCCGGAACTTTGCTCCGAAGTGTAACCGTTTATTACACTAAGGTTTTGTGCAGTCGTACCAATGACCGTACCACAAGTGAGGCCATCGCACTCACTCGTAGTACATCCACACGCTTGTGGACGCTCCAAAACGTTCAGTAGATGGCCATCTGATGAACAAGCGGCAGGCATCGTTACTGTTCGATGTTGCCAGTTTACTCGTGGTTCGTACCTTCTGAGCTACGGTATTGCAAGGATGACATCAAATTTGTCATCCAGATCCAATACGATAAAGTCATCGTCATATTGGGTATCTTCTAGCGTATAGTGAATCTTCACTATACGCTTCATGATTTGGTTACAGATGCGCCTGTCGCAAGACGTACCGTCATCCTTGTAGGAGGTGTGTCACATTCACTGAACTTGAAGTGACCACCTTCTAGCGATTGGCGTCGCACAAAATTGTTAGACGCCCCACAATCGACAGGAGCTCGAGGGGACAACTTATTTGTCACTTCGAGTTTCAAGGTAATGAGTGAGATCTCATTACCTAGAGCAGCAACGCACAACGTTTATGTGTTGGGAGCAACCTTCATCAAGAGGCCTACAGATTCTCTTGACGTTGCTGGACCAGTAGGGTGCTCCGCACCTACTGATCCTGTCCGTTTTTTGACGGTCCATCCCGTTGTTGCGTCTTTGCACCAACGGCGGACCCGCGTCCCTGTCCCTTTCTCATGGGTGGACGGTCACTACGCCCAGTGTTGCGAGACACTGGACGAGGGGCACTACACTCGTAAGCGTAGTGTCCTGTCTTTTGACATCTGTTGCATTTCTGCAACTTCTTGTAGTCCGTAGAGCGAGCCTTCTCGCTCTCTACATAACAGAGTTCCATCGGCTCTGGACCTCCGCTGTCATATTGTCTCGGTTGACGATATGATGTCGAGCTGGCGCGAGCCTGTCTCAGACTGAAGTCTTCCTGTCCCGCAATGGAAGTGGCTTTTTCTAGTGAATCTAGTTCAAGTCGGAACAGGTGAGTCTTGACGGGACCATCCGCAAGACCCTGCATGAACACCGAAACCATCGTGTGTTCATCAATCGGGTTGGAACTTATACAACTCGTGAGATGTCGTATATGTTGCGCGTAAGCGTGCACATCACGCTTACCTTGCTTGAGCTTCAAGAGTTCGTTTCGAGCTCTGAACTCAGCTCTAGGCGGTTCAAACGTTTGTCTGAGCCGCGACTTGAAGACTTCTAACGACCCAAACGCATATGGGTCGTGCAAGTTGAGCCCCAGTGCCCAAGTCTTGGCACGTCCTGCCAGATTTGACTGGGCAAATGCAACTTGCATATCCCCGTCGTCGATGCGACGCGCCCTTATGGCGTCATCCAATTCGACGAACCATCCCAGGAGGGAGTCCTCTTCGACTCTTCTATACTTGGAGATGTCAATCTTCAAAGTCTCGGGTCGACGTGAATACATCGACCCGCCAGCAGCAGCCTGCTGCTGTCTCAACAGTCAAACTGTTGAGCACCCTGTTCTCTCAACACTGCTTGTTGAGAACCTTGTTGGTGAAGCAATGCTACTCTCTCGCGTTCTGCGTCAAGTTCATTTTGAATGAACTTGGCGATAGTCGCATGTTGGACATCTTTATTGAGAGCCTCTAGCATGACGCTAACAGCATGGATACCCATGGTTGAACCCATCCGTTCAACCGCATCCCATTCGACATTGCTCAAATGGGAGTAGCCATCACGCGTAGCGTGAAAGCTTTGGTAATCTTCATCATCCAACGTATTCATGTTAGATGTGAACGTGGTCCTTGGACGGACTACGAAGTGCTACCAGGTGTAACGGGGCACCCTGAAGCTTGTACTGGTGACAGTAAAAGCTACTTAATCTGATGACAGAATAAGGCGGTGCCTCGGAACTTCACGTACACTCGTACGTGCAGAGGAAGACGGTAAGAAGAAGCGAGTACTTGGTTAAAGAAAAAAATAGAACTGTATTCAGCATAGTTAATGTCTGCAATAAATTATTAGTAAAAAGTAGAACTGAATTCAGCATAGTTAATGTCTGCAATAAATTACTATTTATCCTCATCTAACTATGTCTGAATACGAATGTGCATATCATCTATCTGCTCACCACTCATTGCGTGCGTCTGTCGTGGCGCGTCTTCGTTGGTTGATATAAATATAATGGTCTATATCAACCAATTAGGAACTACTCATTAGTGCTACAGAACATTTGTCCTTTTGACAACATTCTGAGAATCTAACTCTTATAGTTATATTCTATCAACAATTTCTGATAAATTTTTATGAACGATTCACCCCGTTACATCACCCCCCCTTGACCATCAGTCACTTTTTAGTAACTGATTGACTAAATGGATACTCGTCCCAAATCATTTGGGACAGGGTTTGCGCTTGTTGGTCCGAGTCCACTTTCCAACAGTTCATCGCATGGTTAACAAGCCCATGCGGTGCGCGAGCAAGGACGCCGAGAGCGCGTCCGCACGTCTCTGTGCGGACGCCGAAGCAGCAACCACAGCATCTGATGTGTCATTGGTTGCCGAAGCGACTCAGCCTGTGTCACTTGGTGATGCAGGCGCTCGTCATGAAGACACTCGTGTCTTCACAGAGTATGAGCTCGGTGTCTCATACTCTCCCGATACGGAAGACGGATCTGTATCGACGGCGATCGAATCCAAGCCGCCTGCCAAGCGTGGCATGAATGATGCTACACGTCGTAGCATCTTTGGTTCATTTGATGATTCATATGAACCATCGCCAAAGCGAAGGCGCTCGAGGTCACGATACTCGGGCGCTCACAGTAGTGTCGGTTCTACTATTTTCACCACTTCACATCGAGGTGCCAGTCCTTCTGTCGGCACGTCGCAAGAAGAGCGGGACCGCAGTGTGTTGCGTCTCGCTCCCGAGAAGAAGGCATGGATGCCTCCAAAATCAGTCATGGATCACTTGTCGGCGAAGACGAGTGATCGTTATCGAACACGATTGTTCGATTCGTCAAGGATCCATCACCTTGACCCCAGTGCGAAAGACTATCACACTGAACACGAATTCTTCATCGATGCTTTCTTTAGACATCGATGGTACAGTGGGAATCACAAACGTGATGGTCCCTCACTACTTCAAGCGTGGAGCGCCTACATCCATAACCTTGAGGATGTAGGTCGTGACGTTTGGAACGACAAACTTATCAAAGCTCGTGATAAGTTTGAAAAGCGAACCCCGACTGGTGCACGCTACAAGCTGCATCGTCTGTCAAGGCAGAAGGGATTACCCTGCCTCACTTGGGGAGACTCGTGCCCATGTTGTGTGAACAACTCTGCACGAGCACCTAAGGAGGCGTACCTCCTTACCAACCCGTGGTGGCGCGTACGTTTCTCTAGTGAGTTGTACGAAGGGATTGACAACCTGAAATCCCTTTACGACCGTGCCGAAAGACTTTCTCCGGCGGTCCTTCTGCGGCACAGGATGTGCCGCGTCGTACTACTCGACCAGACCCAGTACGTCAACAATCAGTTGGGAGCGGGGCTCCCAAGTATCCCAAGACGGGAGATAACCGCGCCACCGGACGAGGTAACTCGTCCGAAGTCCGTTTACGTCGCGGTGGTTTAACAGCTGCTCAACCAGATAGCGCTGGCCACCGCGAGAGTCCTCTAATGGAGGTGGAGGAGGAGGGAAGACGCTCTCCACACGATCGTCGGGATCCGTGTGTTCCCGAAAGCTTCTTTGATCGCGTAACGCAAGGGTTACGCGGCGATCTCGAACATGAGCGGGACAGGCGTCTCCAAATGGCGGACACTGTCTTGAAGCATCGAGCTGAGTTTTCCTTTGCTCAGCTTGAGAACGAGAGAGATTTGACATCTCTTCGTGACGAGCTAAGGGTAGCTCGTGGGATTGTTGATCGGTCTCGGGATGAGATAAATGCTCTCCAGACCCTTGTCGATGCCTATCATCGGGAGCGCAAGGCTCTCTGCGAGATGCTTGAGCGCAAGGGCGTTCTTCATCGGAAGAAGCAGCGTACTGATGGTACAGCTTAAGCCGACCAACGTAAAAACGTGGGATGCGTTCGCATCTTACGTGGCAACTCGATCGTGCATGCATTGCCTAGGCGGTGCAATACACGAAATGGGCCGATGTACTTGGGTAGTAGTAAACTACTACCCAAGTCAGTCACTACGTGCTTTGGTAGATCAACCGTAGACAGTAGGACTAAGTCACCTTAATTAAATAAAAGAGTGTTTGCCCTTCCATTATTGTCAGCGTTTTGCTTTTGCTTATCCACCGCTTCGGCGATGGAGTCTTGCACAAAACGGACTACCGTTTCACGATCCAGTATGAACTCATCCGATGACTCGTTAGCTTCAGTGCGTTGTGAGTGCACTGCAGCTCCATCAATCTTTTATTCAGTGAGAGCTTCCGCACTCTCACTGGCATCATCTTCTTCGATACCGATGTTGTCGATGTCGGCATCAAACGCAATGACCTCGTCGTCAGAGCGTGATGAGCGTGAACCAAATCGGTTTTTGCTTGCGCGAGTCCCTCCCCCCCTCAAACCAGGGCACACTCTAGTAAGGTGGGTACACGCGGATGGCGTAAGCCATTCACGTAAAACGGTGTATGTGCCGTGGACGCATGCACCGAGTTGTTAATGGCAAACTCTACCATTGGCAATAACGCACTCCAACTGTTAAAGGAGTGTACGTATCCTCGAAGTATCTCTTCGAGGACACGATTGGCACGTTCGGTCTGACCATCTGACTCTGGATGGTCAGATGTAGACATCTTCAAGCGCGTTCCGAGTGATTTGAACACGGAACGCCAGAAATCAGCAGTGAAGCGTGAATCTCTGTCTGATACGAGTTCACGGGGCAACCCATGAAGTCGGAAGATGGTGTCAATAAAGACACAAGCACAGCCACTTGCCGTGATTGACTCTGGTACAGCCACAAGGTGTACCATTTTGCTGAATCTGTCAACAAATGCGAGAATACCCGTATTCCTGCGTGCGTCTTTGGTAACCCGAAGACGAAATCCATTGAGATGGATTCCCAGCACTCTGCCGGAACCGGTAGAGGCTGTAAAGGTGCACGCAGTGAAGGACTTGACTTCACTCGTTGACAGACTTCGCATGCGCGAACATACTTTCGCACAAACTGATACTGGCGGGGCCAGTAAAAGTCTCGACTCACCGTGAGATATGTTTATCCCGGCCACGATGTCCTCCTATAGGAGCATCGTGATACTCGAACATGATCCGCAAACGCAGATCAGTATCATCTGGAATGATAATTCGTGGTGTGTCACCAGAAACGGCTGTATAATACAGTAAACCGTTGCGAGTAGTGTGTCGATCTGATGCAGATCGAAACGCAGACGATAATCGTTTCAACGATTCTCGAGATGGCTGTGAGAGATGTGTCAACAACTTCACAATCTCACCATCTTTGGCGTATGCCCGCCTCACATCATCATACAACGTTGTAGATGGGACTGAGGACGTCATAACCGCAACAGTGACTATCTCACTGTTGGGTTTCACGACTGGTTCAAAGTCGGGACGACGTGAGAGTGCATCAGCGACGACATTAAGTCGTCCTGGTTCGTACTCGAACGTAAAGTTGTATTCTGCAAAGAATGACAACCACCGCGCCATTCGTTGTGAAAGGTGTAGGCTTTTCACTGCCGTGCGTAATGACGCATGGTCAGTGTAAACAATGAAGGGTCTATCTCCTAATAGATAGACTCTGAACTTCGCGATTGCATACTTCATGGCAAGGAATTCCTTGTCATGCACTGGATAGTTCCGCTCAGCTGGTTGCAGCTGACGCGACTGATAGAAGGCGACACGTTCAACGCCTTCAAGATCGTACTGCATTAATGCACAGCCGATTGCGAAATCGCTGGCATCACAGACCACATGAAATGGCCTGTCCTGATCGGCTATTGCTAGGACTGGGGATTGTATCAAGCTCTGCTTGATACCATCAAAGGAGCGCTGACATTCAGCGTTCCATAACCACCTCTCGTTCTTTTTCAACAAACAAGAGAGGTGCACAGTCATCTCGGCTTAATTAAGTGAATACTTATGCGAATACGCCGCTAGCCCAAGGAATTTTCGAAGACCTTTGACATCAACCGACACAGGCCAGTCGGTGATCGCCTTGATCTTTTCGGGATCAGGACGTACACCGTTCTTACCAATGATGCACCCAAGAATTGTATTTCGCTTGCTGCAAATATACACTTCTTGAGGTTTGCAAACAATTGATGCTTTAGCATGATTGTAAGAACCTGTCGGACGTGGTACCTGTGAACCTCAACGTCCAACTTTCCATCCATAGCTCGACTATGGATGAATACGCCATCGAAATAACTCGGCGCGAATTCTCGTACTGGTCTCCACAGATGTGATACACATCTGTTGAACGTGGCAGGGGCAATACCAAG